GGCTTAGCCTGTATTGTCTCCTCTTCTCCTGGTTCTCCTTGTGTGTTTAGACTCTCCTCTGCTGTATTCATAATAAATGCTGATTTGACTTTGACTTCTTTAGGCTTGGTATTCAAAATTTTAGAATGGTAAAATGAACTTGTACTGTTCTTTATTTAAAGGGGAACAATTAAATGGTTTACCTTCCTCACAATAAGTACTTTCCTGAAACATGGCTGGAAAGAAAGAAGGAATTCTATTGGCATTCCCACTGGTGAAAGTCAGAACATGAGGGTTTGGATCACATCCAGTAACAGAACTAAATTCAGTCCTGTGTCAAGATGATGTCAAGGGATTGCAGATGCCAAGCACAGGTAAGAAAGGACTCTGCATTGCCACTCCTTTCTTCTCTCTGCTTTCTTTTATACTCCTGTTTGTGAGAATTCTCCCCTGCATTCTCCAAAGTCAGTGGGATTCCCAACAAGTTTTCAGCAAGAGCAGGAATAACAATGGCTGCAGGCACTTTAATGCACTTTAACTTTGGCAAGGACACATGAGTATTTTCCCACCATTCTTCTCCCCATTAGCAGCAGCAGCTCTTTTTTTAAACCTTTTTTTTTGTCCCCCAGCTCATTTTGCTCCACCACTTTTGAAGGGTTACACTGAAGTCACTCTTCAGTGAGTAACCAAAATAATCAGGTATTAATTACAGCTTAAGAACAAGGTCCAAAGTGTGATTCATTATAATTCTTCAGTTCATCTAGAGTAAATAGGACCTTATCTGTGGGGCTGCCTAGGTTTTTTACCTCAGTGATATGTGGAAACTATAGCTCAGGATCTTGGAGGAAACTTTGAACCCACTACACCAGTTTGAACAGGTCTGTGTCCTTTGGCTTTTTAATCTTTGCCTTTGTTCACTGTTAGATTTGAATGATTGCCAAGTACTATAAAAGCCTGGAAATCGGATATTAATCTTGAAAGTCTTATTTAGATTCTTTTCCCAAGGAGGATGTTGCACAATAAGCATTGCCTATCCATTTGGCCATGGGAGAGTGTTTTCCACCTTTGGTTCAACTCGTATTCTCAATGATAATGGAAGAAACTCAGCACTTTGCAAGAGTAGACTCTGAAGCTACAAAGCAACATGACGGTGTCATTATTTAAATGACTATATGGTTATTTTCATTAATAATATGGCTTTGCACTCATGTTAAACCTTTTCAGTAAAAGGTATCAAAAGGTTTTGCAAACGATAATTCACAAAGCAAATACTTTTATGTTTGTGTCTTCATAGAATAATTTGTGCTCAAGATCATAATATGTAAGTGCTCCTACTGGTCTAACAGAAAAAAATTAACCACTTGTACATTATTTTAGTCACTATTACATTTCTATAAATCTCTTGAGAAAGTAGGGATTTGAATAATGGATTCATTTTAGTTCTGAATAGATATATATTAGTACTTCTATAGTTTCTATGTAAGTACATTGGAATTAGGAGTACTTTATAAAAAAATACCTTTTAATATTGGAAGTTCAGCTTATAATTCACATAATGGTTTTGAAAACTCTACTTTGCATGGCAACCTTTCTGTCTTTTGCCCACATAATTCCTGTTGGTTTAGGAACTCCAGCCAGTACTCAGTTAATATGAAACCCAGACAAATAGACCAAATTAGTAATACAAGTGGTTATTCTCATGTATGTATGCAAATATAAGTAATACTTAGGATTTATGCCTGGTAGTGTTTTTTTAGCTTCAGCTGTAGTATATGAAGAAAGTGGGTAGCATAACCATACCTTGGTTGTTTCACTAAATTTCCTTTTTGTGCATTTATTTGATAAAAAGTGGTGCTTCAATTCATCCATGGAAGAAAGCAGTATCCAGGGCTTCTCAAGGACTTCACAGGCCTTGAACTTTTTGTTACTCCAAGGACAATAACACCAATTTTTCTTTCTGGGAGCTTTTAGGATCTGAAGTGAGCTGTTGCTGATTCCAACACATTGATACTGGGACCAAGGAAGACCCTGATCATCTGTAGGAGGAGGTCATGCAGAAAACCAAAGGTAACTCATAACTTAAGTGAGGACACCAAAAGGAAAGAGTTCAGCAAGAAAGTCTGTGTATTTCTTAAAGGTGGTGTCTTCATCAAGTGCAAATCAGGTAAGTCCAGTACAGTTAGGATTTGTCACTTGATTTCTTGAACCTGTTCTGATTTACCCTGATTTGTCTTACCCTTTTCTCCTGACATGCTTACGAAGACCAAACTCTTTTTGCAAGTCTAATAATGTGGCTGAAACTGGTAATTACTATACATACTTCTAGAAGATCTATAATATAATTAGCAGCTGCTTTGAGTTGCAAAATTACAATAAGAGAAGATTTATGTTCTTCCCTTTAACTGAAGCATGGTTTACTTCGATAAATACAATTCTGAGATAAGAATAAATGCATATTGCATTGGGCAATCTTCCCTGTGACACTGAGATATGTATTACCTCTTTGCTCCAATTATCCAAAATGATGTTGCTTTCCCTTTTTCCCTGCTTTGATTACCCTTTCAAGTGCTCTGTACCACCCTTGCCAAAGGGGTGCAATTATCCCTACAGGTTAAACCTCTTGACTTTGGGTGGAGAGGTTGTGCAAACACGCTGCCAGTGTGGCGGCTCAGTGAATCAAACTTTCTGCCCTTTCAAAACTTCTTTCATTAGGAGTCCCAGCTGAGAGTCTGAAGGAGCCTTGGTGGTTTGGGTAGGAAAATGACTGAAGCCAGGGAATAAGAAAGCTGTTCCTGCCCTGGTCTGCCTGGTCCTTCACCACTACTGTGCTGCCAGAGATTTCTGATTTGTCTCCTTCGATCCTGGATGTTCCAGTGTAGAAACAGTGTCCCCCAGATGTAATTGGCAGCCGTTAGATGATTATTTACCACTTCTCTAGAATTTCATTAAGCAGAAGTTGACCTGAAGTAGTGAATGAACTGTGGCTTGGGCCTTCTTAGGCTTTGAAACTCTTGCTGTCTGCAGGTCCAGCTGTTTATATCTCAGAAGCTCCAAGGATTCTCAGTTCTTAAAGGCCAGCTCCACCACAGGGAGTCTTTCCTGACACAACCTTAACAAAAAGATGTGTGAGAATGCCTTCACCAGAATTTCATCCCTTTCAGGCGTTGTTTCTCCAGTGGGACCAATGACTAAAGTTCTTCTCCTTAGAGTTATGATTGCAGAGCTCATCACAAGGTTCTAAACTCTACTGAGGGTCTTTCTTGCTTTCCACTCGTGTAATATGGTGAAGAGAAATTTATTCCACTGCCTTTCAAGTCCTCTGTGCTCAGAAGGGATTAAGATTTAAACCTTCTACTGTCTCCTCAAAGAAGGTGAACATCAGAACAGCCTTGTGACTGAAAGTCTGACTGAAGCTAATAAAAACCTGTTCTCTTGAAACATCCTTGTTACTGCATGAGGAGCACTTCTGTAACCTGCCAGCCTCAGTTCCCTTCTACTGCTGTGGTGCAGTTCAGTGATTAGAAACAGTACCAGATGCACTTGTGATAAACTCTTTGTTGGGCCTCTGATCTGTGTGTGGCTTTGCTCTCCTGAAATGGGGAAGCACAGACTACGTGCTGTGCAGCACTGCTCACCTTGCTGAGGTAACAGCCAAAACGCCACAGAAAAGATCATGACAATAATAATAATCATGATAATGATAAAAATAAAATTACGTACTTTGAAAATCTCTTGCATTACCTTGGCTTAGCCTGAGCCATTTATAGAAAAACTCCCAGTTCCCAAATCTTGAATTGGGAAAGAACCTCCCAGATGGCAAAATTAGAGGTGTAGTTATAATTTATTTAACAATGGAGTGGCTTTTTGGAGGTAAAAGAGGAAATGCTTGGGATTTAAAACATTAAAGTTGCCTGAAACACAGAGTGAGTGAATTGATGATAATGTGGAACTCTGAGTTTGACTCTTCATGAATCTGTCCCTATTGCCAGAACTCCAGTCCCAATACAGAAAAAAATTAACTATTTTTTGGAAAGGGCTTAGACCTAATGAAAGCTTTTCTGCTGATTTTGATATGATTTTGAAAAAAACCTAAATGAAAATAAGCTTTAACCAGTGTATTTTCTAGTTGACTCTTGTAGTAGTAACACTGCTCTCCTTAAAAACTGCAGGATGATCTGGGACTTCATCCAACTCATGCTGAAGTCTTTCCACTTAAATAGAATCCTTGGTGAAAAATATTAGAGGCGATTCCTCAGTAAATACAATGCATTGTCTGTGATGGGTCTTTCAGTCACTCTTGCATTTATTCCAAAGCCTGGTACAGTATGCTTAGGAGAACTGCACAGTATTACAGGCCTTTGTTTTAATTCTATCCTTTTTATTTTACAGGGTTTTTTTTAATATAAAAGGAGAAAGAAGAAATTTATGAAAATGCAGACCTTGTCAACATAGTTCAATTTCTTAACTTGTCATCTTGTCTCAGTTCTAACTGGAAGAGCCTGAAGAAGGCCCTATGGCCAACTTGTCAGCTCTAATCTCCCCTTCTACTCTTAGCGGATATTTTATTAACACTTTTTAAGACTGTTTTTTATTTGTTTTGCAGTCTACATGCTGAGGCAGCAGCCAGTTTGGTTTTCTTCATCTTTCTCTCTTCATGCTCTCTGCTGCCTGAGAGAGAGGTTGGCTCTTCTGCCATCCGAGTCCACAAATCACAGCAAAAGGGATTGTTGCAGTTTTCATAAATGTGGTGTTACTTGAAAATTATAGACTGCAACTGCTTATTGCAGTTCTGTGCAATGGCTGTAAATTGGGCCCTGTATCTTTCTGGTGACAGTCATTCCCACAACAGGCCTTTTAGGAAATTGGAAGGGAAATTAAACAAGAGCAAGGGGTAGCCTTCCTTTTATCTTTGACATGCCTTTCTGAAATCCTTATCTATCATATTCAGGCAGAGATGCTGCTGAAATGGTGGTGGATTTAGATGTTGTCTGTCTCTGAAGCTACAGACTGCTGATCCTGCATGCTCTTTGAAGCAGGTCTGTTGACAGGGTCTAGATACACATACAATTTTATGAATGATGGACCATGATGACATGGCACCAGTGGAATATATTATTTCTCCATTTTCACTGTCCATTCATTTAAAAATCAGTTTTCTCAAAGCCATTTAAAAGGGTTAAGCTGAACATACTGTGGCCATAGGTAGGGAACTGTTTGCAGAGAAGATTGAGTGGTCAGTAAAGGAAGGCTACATGGTGACTTTATTTCTTTTGCCCAGGAGATAAAGATGAGTGCAGTGAATGTTCTGTTGTCCCCTTTTTTTGGCTATCTGGACTGTGGATTTAGGCATGCAGAAGTAAGCAAGCCTACCTGTCTGGTTGCTCATTCCTTGCAGGATGTGTGTGGAGTTGTGGACAGCTCATCCACTGGCCTAACTGCCTAAGCCAGCACAAAGGATGGTAGGTAATTAATAGAAAACTAATATAATCCACTGTTATATATTCATGTATGTTATATATAATGTATAATCTAATAACTATATAATACCATAGAAGGAAGGAAACTGTAAATGCAAGGTGGTTTCTGAGACTCAAAGCCTTCTTGAGGTGATGCACATTACTCACTGCCCTGTGTGCTGGGATGTGCCTGGTCCTAATCCAGCCCTGAAGTCCTGGCCTTCCTTCAAGTTTGGTTTGATGGGAAGGGCTCCTCACCTAACCTTACCTTTCTCTTCACCACTGAGCTTGCCTGAAATGAACTCTGTGTTGACACTCATGTGGGCAAAAAGTCTGTGTCTGGAAAGAAAAGGCCTTTTTATATCTTCTCTGCAGAAGAAGAGCACATGTTAATTCTGGCTATGGCAGATCCTCTAGGCCCACACCTGTGACACACCCAATATAAAGAGAGTTTAAACAAGCAGTTACCCTTAAGGGTGGGAGGGATGCTCAGTTTTATCACCTCACCACACCCCAGTCCTGGTTCCTCCAGGCCCTGTTAGAACAGCCAGGTTGGTTCCCTGTGTGCAGGAAGTGCTGAGGTTTGTGTCCCTCAGCTGTCACCTGCTCCAGGGTCCTGCAAGAAAAGGGTCAGGTACAAAACCACCTTTTTGCACGGGCTGGGGGAATCACTCAGTGCTATGAAATGATGGATTTAACAGCCTCACACATCTCCAACCAAACCAGAAAGCCGACCTGAAGACACCTGTGCCTCTCCAGGCTGCTGGTGCCAGTGGAAGCGTGCCTCACCTGAGCCCAGCAGGACAAACCCGGACACGCCCGGTGGGAGCTGGCGCCAATCCGTGGCTGTTCTCACCCCTCTGCCAGGGCAAAGCCTGGATTGCTCCCTGTGCCATGTTTAAAGGAGCATGGGCAAATTACAAGGCAGTTAAACCCAGTGATCTCCTTATCTTTGCTGTTAGTATTGCTTTCGATTATTCTGAATGATAGATGGCAAGAAACCAGATTTGCTTCTGGTGTGTAATACCACGTGTTTACTTTTCACTAAGCCCAAACAAGGAAAACCTATAACTCTCTTTCACTTTTGTCCCCTGTTTGTTTTCATGTGCAAGCACAGTGCTTCAATGTTCAGGCTGTAGATGATGCCAAGGAAAATTGAAGTCCAAACCAAGAAGCTGCTTACACTGGAACTTAGAAAAACAAATACAGAGAGCTTTCTGTTGCTCATTTTATTTCATTTTCAATAAATCTAAATTTTGGGTCAACTCAACCTGACAGTATTCATCTAAATAAAAATGCAATGGTTATGGGAATGAGATCTGGTCCTTAAAATCAGAAGAGGAGGAGACTTTGATTAGTGTTTGGCTAGGAAGAAGGCAAGTGTCTAAAGCAAGAAGATTTGAAGACCTTGCTATGTTCCACTGAAGTGGATATAAATTTTATCAGTGCCTTTGAAGCAAGCAGAATCAGACTCTAAATTAGTGATTGTGCAGTACTTAATAACTATTACTCAAATCTAGTGCTTCTGGCTAACTTCAGTTCTTAGCTGGAGAGCTAACTGGAGGGGTTATTTGGAGTTGCCTTAAACCTATATGCTACTAAATGATTTACTGGATATTTAGATACCTATAATCCTGGAATTAGACCTACTGGGATATAAATCCCTGAAGCTCACAAGCAGTTAAATAATGACTAAACGGAAAAAGAAAAACCCATCTAATCCTTTCCATGCTAAGGTATGTAATAGCACAAAATTTGCAAAATCCATCTTCCACACCAAGTAGAGTGATTACAAATGAAGGCAAGAACATGATCCAAAAATATTGGAAGCTGGAGAAGTACTGTGATCAAATAGAACAACAAACAATTCCTGAAAGAAAGGGAAACTACATAAATATTTATATATGTGTTTTACAGGGTCTGCACCGACACTGAGTTCCTCTGTACATGCTTTTATCAAAATTCTCAGCCAACTGAATTCCATATGTTTATTGTAAAGTTTTCCTTTTTCTTTGCCAGGAGGGCATATCCAAAGCTCTCATAAGGAGACTGAAACCATGGGCTGGATTTGCTAAGATCTGTCAATTTTTTTCTGCCTTATTGGGAGCAAATATGGACTGGATTGCCAAGATGGAATTTTACCAGCCTGCCTTGAAAGCCAGCTGTAGACAGGAGAAAGCTGCCTTAGGACTTCAGTGGCCCAGGAACCAGGCCCTGTGAGCATCCTTGCTCTGTGTTTTCCACTCCCTATGGATTGGTAATACAGTTCTCATTGCACACAGCCAAACTCAAGAGCAACATCCACAGTTCTGGTTGTATTGTGCCAGAAAAAACGGTTTTGAAGGACCTCAGCTGGATTCAGCCCTAATCCAAAATACAATGCTGAGGAAATGAGGAAGGTAAGTTAAGGTTATGGAATGGTGCTTTGCACAGCTATTGCTGAAAGGGGCCAGGGGTGTTCATTTGGTGGAGTGTGTGAGGCTGCATGCTCAGCAGCATCTCCTGAATGGAGGGTTACTGTATGCACTGTAGGGATCTGGTGGGAAAGGTAGTTACACGCTTCCATCCCCATTCCCAAAGTGTTCCTCAACTGCTGAACTGACTGTGGTGCTTCCAGCACCTTGTCTGGTCATTCTGAAATTGATTTCGTAAACATTTCATGTGTGCCAGGTGGGCTGATGAGGACAAGGTGAACTCTGAAAAGAATTGATTCTACCCTTGCTCTGCTGCAGAACCTCATCACCTTAATATTGCAGAAGTTCATCTGCGTCCTGCAGTGCTGGTGCTAAGAAATGAGGAGCAGTTCCTTCAATAAGGTGACTTACATGTGACTAATGACAAATATTGCAGGGTCTGGCCCTGCTCCTCTTCTGTATAAATGTAATTTTGTACAAATAGTCGCATTCCTGTGCAACCACTGGATGTATTACTTTGATCATTTGACAAAACGAGCAGAGGCAGGTAATTAATTTTGGTTATTAGGTGTTTGCCCAGTATTCACAAGCAGGAGTGATCATGGTTACTCTGCCTCTGGGGCTATTTATTTGCATAATTTCCTTTGTTTGGTAACAATGTGCCATCCAGACGTTGGGGAAGAGTCATATAATCCCTTTGTGGTGGAATCTGTGTGTTTACTAATATCCATGCACAGTTTGTGTGAATGTGTTTGTGGCCAGTCTGTGCCCACTGACCCAGGTTGTGTTCCCATGCAGGAGGACCAGTGGGCACCTGCCCATTTCAGGAGGAAGCAAGAGGTCTTGGCCAAATGCAGTGTGCTGGAGGCATTTGTTTCCCAAACTGCTCCAAATCTCAAGGCAATTTTCTGTGCTCTGCCCTTCAACATATGATTTATGTTAGTGAGTTGTGGAGCCTGTGCTTTCCTTGGTGAATTTTATTCTACAATGGGAGTTATTGAAATGGAAAAGTGACAGAGGTCACAGACCAGAGTTTCTCATGTGCAGCACTGCCAGTCCTCCTCCCTGGCTCCTCAGCATCAGGCATTAGGGACTGGCTGTTCTATGAGCCTCAGAATACATAGGAAAGCCACCAGCTCTTCTGAAACATGCCACTAGGTCAAAATAGCTTCCTTAGAGGTTTATTTTTTCTTGGAGATGAACACTTTAAGAGCTCCTCCAAAAATTCCAGTGAGAGCAGAAACAGATAAATGTTAAGCTTCCTTTGCATTCCACAAGAGGTCCCAGCTGGTCTTTCTCTTCCAGCAGTAACCCTGGGGCAGAAGGCAATGCTTTTTATTTCCTCTCACACTCTGCAAAAACAAAACCTTAATAAGGCTTGACACAGTTGTTCTTCTCCATGTGTAGTTTAGGGGTGTTCCCTAAAAATCTTTCTGGATGTAGGGTTGCCTGAGACATTCTAAACACTTTGACTGAAATTCTGTTCAAAATTTTATCACAGAGCTTTGCATGTGGATGAATTTCAACCATAGTTTCTATTTCACCTGATTTTTAAGGGCAGCAGGAACCATTATAATCATCTTGGCTGAATCTCATAAGCCAGAGGGTTTTGCTTAGTGATTGCTGCATGGAGCCTGTGGTAGAGCTTGAGCACATAGTTTAGAAAGGCATTCAATCTTGATTTAAAACTCAAGTGATAAGGAGTTTGTCCTGGATAGTTTACTACCTACCCTGGCTTGTTCTTGTGGATCAATTGTCTGAGTCACAGAATTTAGGCTGTACAAGAAAAGGAAGCAAAATATAGTGGTATATCCCTTCACAACCTAAGCCTCAGATAAGACTAAAAACTGAGTATATTGAGATTTACTTTTTACAAATCTGTACACAAGTAGTTTCAGAATTTCACAGAAATACACATTAAAAAAGACTCCCAGAGAGCTGAAGCTTTTTCCTTAAAATATTTGTAGTGAGCTTCCCTATATGCTTTAAACACCATCATTTTTATGGCTGTTGAAGTGTTTATTTATGTACTTAGAGGCTTGATTCTGGGAGATAGAGAGGTTGGAAAAAGAAAAAAGATGCTGTTCAGCAAGCCAACAGAGAACTAAGAATTGACTATTTGCTTTCAAAGAAAAAATGAGAGTTGCATGTGCTGGAAAAGTGTCTGGATCTGTGTTGGTTGTGCTGCAGTCAAGCTCTGCCTGATTGGACCTGTAGCCTCGTGTTCCAGTCCAGCCCTGTGAGCTTGTCCTGGAAGTTTGCTGGATTCACTGCATTCCCTTCTGTGCTGGTAAATGGGGTCCCAATGTTCAGATTTCATGCCTCAGCCTGAGTTTGTTTGCTCAGTATAGGAGCACGTGGCACGAGCTGCACGGAGGTAACCTCAACCTTTGCTGCCCTCTCGGCAAGGCAACACCACCTTTTGCCTTCCGTGTTAAGTTGGACCATGGCAGGAGCATTTCCTTCAACATCAGGGAGTGCTGAAGGTTCCTTGAGAAACATTCTGGCTGTGAGCCATGAGAACTCTACTGTCAGAGGCAAGGACAGACAGAAGACAGGGTATCAAAAAGTTATGTAACATTAGACAAGTCCAGGTTAAGGTCCTGTGATCATGAAATAATCGTTGTTCATAGGAGCAATCATTTTCTTGCTTGGTTTTTTGTTTTGGTTTTTGTTATGTTGTTGTGTGTGGGGATTTGTTTGTTTGTGGTTTTTAGTTTTTTTCTTTCATACTCTGTAAATGTCTTATCAAAGTTCAGGAAGGAAATCTCTGCCTAACAAGCATGGGGAAGAAAATGTTATCAGCTGAAGGCCAAGTTCATGAATTGTTGCCTATTTATTTAAGACTTTGCTTGTGGATGAAAAGAATAATTGCATCAACAGTTGATTAGGCATTAATACCTGTAACAGCCATTAAGCTACTGGGAACTTGTAAATGGGGTAACTGGTGTAGAACTGGCTATAAAACTGGGTGCTGTTTGACCTTAAGAAACCTTAACAAACCTTAAGAAACCAGGAGGTGGTCAGGAGCACACGGGTGTTCTGCAGGTGCTGCTACTGCCTCTCCTCTGTTTTTTTAGTCCAGATTTTACTAGATGAAAATTACTTTCATACTGAAAAATGGAACACCTTTGACTGTACAAACTTAAACAGAATTCAAGTGTTTCATTGTCAATAAGTTAAAGGTTTCATCTTTTGCAGGTTTATCAATCACCTAAATATCCAAACTTTCAATGTTCAACTGATATTTGGACTATAATGTTTCTGTGTCTTTAATGAGGAGCATTTTGTATGTTACATAGGGTACTTGTTTTTAAAATGTTTTCATTTACTAATACAGCTGTTCTCTATACTTACACGAGAAAATATCTGAATCACATGATGCTAGGTAGTTTTTAATTATATGTAAATGTAAATGTAGTACATACATACATAAATACACAGTGAAGTCTCTGGGAGAGTGAAACATTAACCACAGCTAGTGGTGAGAATGAGAGCAGCTCTCCTCATGTGGAAACAAGAAATGAGGGGGAAAAACCCTTCTTCTCTGCATTTAATTTCAGGGTTGATATACGTCCCAGCTTCTGTAGGAAGGAGATTTCATTGCCTCACCCAATGTCCATGCTGGCAGTAGATATCCTCGTGTCCCACAGCAGAAGTGCCATTATTGGCAGTGGCTTTGCTGGGAATGTGTCTGTGCTGCATGAGTTGCAGCTCTGCAGGTGCGACTCACTCTGACCCACTCACACCACAGGCAGTGAGAACTTCCTCAAGGCTCCAATTATTTCCATCTGCTAGAGGAAGGATGCGTTTGACACAGGTGTCTATTGGCCTTTTCAACTCTAAGTGGCCTCTCTCCAGCTGGCTCAGTGATGGGACTGTCCACAGAGGAAAGGGGAAACGTCCCTGTGTGCACACTTCCTTTCAGAGCAAATCTTTGTGCTGTGAAGAACCTAAGGTATTTCAGCACGCTCGGATTGGTTTTCTAGAGAAAAAGCTTGATGCAGGTATTTGCTGTTCATTTTATCTTAAACAGTCTGGAAGAGATGCTTACCATATCCTCTAAACTCTTAATTCCATAGGCTCAAAACAATGTCCTCTCTTTTTAAAATTTTAAACTGGAGAGAACCCAGCATGCTCTAGCTTCGCTTCTCAAGTTTTGCCCTTTCATTTAATTTTGTTTCTAACAGGCACAAGTCTTAAGCACAGGTGGCTGCTGTGGTTTTTTATTTCTGATGATAGCTATTGACCTGCCAACTGGGTATTCTCTTGGTAATAGTAAACAGGTTCCTAATGGCTAAACTTTCTTCCATTTAAATTCTGTAGTCCAAAAATAATCTAGTTTTTTATTAACCAGGGAACAGATTATTAAACACATACATCATTTTTACCAGACTCTACCTCTGTAAACCTAAGTAGTTTTAAGTCCATGTTTTAGGTTTTTGTTGGTTTGATTTCCTTTTTTTTTTTTTTTTAATTTTGGGACAGTCCTCCAAACAATGGAATTTAAAAAGCGAATTTAGTGATTTGTGTGTAAGTAGAAGGCCTGGGAGCTAGAAGCTATACACAATTTTGACAGTGTGTTTGAAACTACATGAGAAAGAGTACTTGTCTGATGAGTAGCAGACTCCTTGCTGGTTATGACAGACTCAGAATCAATAGGTGATTTCAAGGAGTGTTCTTCTCTGGATTATCTTGTTTTATATGACACCTAGCTTTTTTTTTTTTTTTTCCTATTTACATAGCTTGTTTAAATTGTAAAAATCCATTTTACTTTCTCAGCTATTAAAAGAAAGGGGAGACCCTCCTGCCATCAGCTGGATGACCCCATGAGTTAACTGATTATGAAAATATCAGAGCTCTCTTATGCTCATGTGGTCTGGGCAGAACCCTTCTGGTACAGCCCAACCATATGGAATTTATATCTCAGTCGGTACATGGGAAAATGAGATTATTTACTCCAGGATATGGTAATGCTCTCACTGACTCTCTGAATCTTTGTGAATGAGTGTGAATGCTCAGGGAATTGACAGGCTGCTATCACAGGCTCAGCCCAAGTGCAATCCAGCAGGCTCTGGTCAAGCTCTTGCACACACTGCTCTGCCAAAGGACTTCAGCCTTCACCTACAACGTCCTTGTTTTTCCATTACTAAGACTTTCCCAAACATACAGAGCCAAAGGGACATATTAACACATGCCTGCATGCCAGAAGGCACAGCATGTCTCTGTGAGCAGGAAACACGCTCCTTGTTTAACAATGGATGGAGCTCTCTGCCTTTGTTTTTCACCTGAGTTAATCTTGGCCACCTTACTTGTATCATTTAGGTCACCTCATATGTTATGTGAGTGAACTGTAGCTGGCCAGCATTTCCAAATTTCCCTTTCCCACAATAATG